GCTCCTCGTTCACTTCCCGATGTATTTATCGTTATAAATCGCGCAACAGATACAGGGTCAATCAGGTTCTCCTCATCTCCATGATTACCTTTGCTGTCTTCATGCTGCCCTATGTCCCACTCTCGGTGCTGCAATGGTCAGTTTGGCGAAAGGACATTCAACCGAGCTGTCCCATCATAGTGGCGGAGTACATTTTGGCATATCTGTCAACGCTGGGAACACTGCTCAATTCCACTGCCAACTTCTTCGTCTATGTGTTCTACTGGGGCAAGTATCGCAAGATGATGTACAACATGCTGTGCAGGTATAAACGTGGTAGTCGTAAGTGCAGTAGTTTTACAGTATCTCTAAATACACACGAGGCGCCAAATTGCACTGCGACGCAGAATGGAGAAACTGCGGGGGTCTCCCTGTTAAGAAAAGGGTCCTAGCAGTCGCCACCGTCTGGCCTTCATTATGGAGGGTGAAAATAGAAGGTCAAAAGCCACTCCTTTTAACCAAAGCTCCTCTCCTACTACGAAAAATCATCGACCGATGCCAAAGAGTGCGCCGCGGTGATTTTATTCCGAGGAATACTACTTTTCTACTGTTGCCGCTGGCACTACAGATATCAAGAGTCATACACAAACAGTTGTGTGTATGATCGCCCCCTCCCCAATCCTCAATTTTTTTTAAGCCTTCCATTTTAGATGTTGTTATTTTATTTTTTCGTGCAATGAAATCGTCAGAATTTATGTAAAGCCTTCTTCCTGAAAGGAAGCAGGGAGCGAAGGAGCTAATCTTTTTCTTCAAGTGTTAAGGGAATTCGAGTCTCTCTATATGCAGCATAGGTGTCTGTGTCTAATTAGCAGGAATATAATATGGCTCATTACCACAAACCTTTTTCTAGAAGGCCTTCTCTATACCGCATTTAGAATCGCCTTCAAACTGTCCATTAAAATTAAAGTTGTTTTTGATTTAGGAATAGCAATGCAGAAAGGTTTTTTCTCATTTTATAATGCAAAATAAAGGGTTTAATTTTGCAGATTAAACCAACAGTTTGGCAGGCGAAGAGCCATTTTTCAATAGAAAAATGTATGAATTAATTTTAATAGCCGTAACAAAGACATAGTTTTGGCGAATATGATACTTTTAATAAAAGCTTAAAATTGTTGCAATTGCATAGGTGATCGGTTCACCTAGACACAAACAGCGGTATTCTATGCTTTGCTTGAATTCATATTGATATTGCTTCGCTACTCTACATGCGTTATAGAGTTTGTATTTTCATATAAATTATTAAACTTAATTATTAGCAGGCCACGTAAGTAAACTCGGTCTTATCAGCTTTGTTTATTTTATTGAGTGTCCGCTGATTTAGGAACATATAGCAAGATATAAAATGTAAATAAAGGTGTGAAGTGCCAGAACAGTAAACATTCTTCCCGAAGGATTGCTTTAACTTTCCTCTTCGTAAAAATGTATGCATGTATAAATTGTAAAATATCATCCACAGAAGTAAAATTATATGAAATTGTGTCCTTTGGGAATTGATAATACTAGCTATTGTGTGAATTTTCGAGTTCGTTTCAAAGTCTTTGCTAGGCGTACAGTAAGGGTACAGAACAGTCGGGATTTTAAACCCTTCTGAAAAACACGATAATGCCTTATTATTTTTTAAAATAGCTTTACTTGTTGTTAAGCACGTTGTTTCGATTGGTCGCACATTTTTACGCTTCTTAGAAATAGGTTTTCACGGCGTCTCCATTTGATGTGCCGAATAATGCCAGAGTCGTCGGGGTTATTGGCCTCCGATGGTGATGAATAAAGATTTTGTCAACTTATCTCCAGATTAAGCCTACCATAAGAACAAATCAAGGATATCAATTAAATTCCGGTATGGTCAACGATGATAAAATTCTCTCTTTCATATACCCACTCCACACTGCAAAATTAAAAATTTATAAGAGGCAGCGAATTTTATTTTTCCAAGGAAAACTTCCCTCGAAATTTTTCGAATCCATATTCGATAAGAGTGCTTGTGTTTCCAACATTTATAAATAAATGTAACGAAAGAGGAAAAAAAACCTTTTAAAACATGAGTTTGAATGTCATTTCAAAACGACCTAAGGCCGACCAGAGTTACTCAAATCATGTAATAAACCTGTCAGCGAGAAGTCATACAAAAGCAAAAGGCAATTACTCCCTAGGAGAATAAGAAGTAAACTAAGCGTTTTAAAACGTCTAAAATTCTTTGCGCTATGTAGTGTGCAATATAACAGCTGAAAACAAACAGACGATAAGCGGTTTTACATGCGGAGTAACACCACACTTCTTACTTAGTAGTATCTTTAGGAAATAAGGTCCTTAAATCCTTTAAAACAGACGAGCGTATTATCATGCTCCCTGCAGATCAAGGCGAATAAAATACGATCGCAATCGAAGCAGGATATAATGAGAATATGCTGTCATTGTTAGAATGAAATTCAACCTACAGTCCTCTTAACACGAAGCCAACTCAAGAGTACAGCAGATCCTTGAACAAGAAGATATTGTAAGAACACAGAGATAAGCCGAACTAACCATGGCTCATATTTGTGTATAACAACATGCTTACAAATCTGACAAACCATTGCGATCAATAGTAAAACAAATCTTGAAATGCCTATGCAAAAACTTCCACGCATTAAAAAATGATTGCAAAGCATAAACTGATAATTAAATAGCAATTCTAAAACATAGTCTGACAATTATATGGGGGTTTTGAACAAATTACAAGGAATTAACATAGCAGCACATAAAAATGGTAACTTTTTGTGTTGTCTCCCTCTTAACATCGATACCCTTCAATTAAGGTAATACACAGAAGAACAATTTAAGTTCTAGGATATATACTTTTCCGTATTTGACTTGCTCGAACTCTTGGGTGTACTTCTGCACACTAACCTTTCATTCTCAAACAAAACGGTCAACAACTAAAGAGAATGGGCCAGCTGGTTACCCAGTTTGGTTTTTTCGGCTAAACTTAAAACTAAGGCCCTATCATTTGTTAACTGCGAATTGTGTGCATGATATTTTGTTTGAGGGGCGCTAGCCAGAGAGGCTGCCGAACGTTTCAAACGCAAAGATGACAGGACCTTCAAATTAAAAAAAAGTTTACGGTAAACGCCCGTTTCTCGACGTTTCTGTATAACTGGGGTAATATCAAATCGTAGAATCGCACAAACCAACGACTTAACTGCGAAATCGTCTTGTCCATATGGTTTGCATTTGGACAGAAAATGAGTCGTTTACAAACTAAGCAGCCGGGAAACTAGCCAAACAGGGAAATCGACGTCTACTCGCCTAAACGAACACTAATTGCCAGTTTAGAGGCAGGACAACCTGACTTAACTACCCATGCCTACAGTCCTGCGAGTCCTGCAGACAACTTTCATGACAAATTTAACTTGGTAGGTTACCATATATCCCGAGAGGTTATTTTGATCAACTGAGAGGATTTAATAATAAGAAGGGTTTTGGTTAGGAAAACTGCCTCTCAGTTGAAGTTAATGACTAGACCGTGAGTAATTTTATATTAAAGAAATTCCCCATGCTATAAAGTATGACAGAACCAAAATTTTTACTTATATGAATTGTGATGTGGAAGAATTCTATAATTAGTAAAAAAGGTAGAATAATAATCCCTTTCAGAACTGGAAAATTTTTGTGTGAAGTTGATTAAATGGAAGTGAAGTCAAGTTTTAGGAATCGCATTTATTTTCAGAAAAAAACAATAATTGAAGTTTTAAAGATTATGTTTAGCTATGTTGTTAAGTTTTTTTGCACAAAATACAGTAAAAAACGTTTCGTTGCGTTTTGTTTAAACCTCACCGCTGACCCTGCGCAAAGCAAACTTTGCCATATATATTACCGCGAAAGGAATATAAGAAGGCCTTCTTGTATGAAAGTGATGTAGAAGTATAATTTTTGTAATGAATACGTTCCACTAAGACATGGAACAGACAGACGAATAATAAGTATTACATCTGCATTCGCAAGTGTACATGGGATCGTAGAATTAATCCCCTTAAGCGCAAAATAAACCGTTATAAAGAGAATAGTATGTTCTTTCATCTCCGGTCAAATTTAATCGTTTTTATTCAGGTAAATTAAAGAAATTATCAAAGGTCTCCAATTTCACTGTGACATTACCTTGGAAAAAATTAATGGACACAGATATTCTTTAGCTAGATATCCAATAAAAGCACTTTTAAAGGAGGTGTCCTATGATAGAAGGTTTTTTTTATCAATCATAGGAATAACAATATGCGCGGTATCTAGCAGACATTTGAATGCTCGACAATGCGGTTTGCTGTTTGGAAGCATATCCACATATGACATATATGACCATCTTCATAAGAACTAAAATCCAAAAGCTCGTTTTTTTGGTAAATGGTGTTTCGTTATATCTTATTTTGAAAGTGTTTATGTGAACGTCGAACAGAAGCGCAATTTATCAACTTATCAATAAATATGTATCCACTAATGATGATATGTAAAACATATTTTGACTAAAGGCAAGATATTTCTTCATAAAGAAAGTGGTTGGTGTATGTTTTATACTTAACATAATATCTACATTTATTGATCTAATTTATAGCAATTTTTACGTCTCAAGAACCTGAGGATTATCGAGAAAATTTTAATTTTCCTAACAAACAATTAGTACTTCTTATAGTTCTTTTAAGTACCTAATATGCCTAATGCTGCTCATTATTATTTCTAAGTTTTCGTAAATGCTTTTTCGCTGGTATGCAAGAAATAATCAAACATTTACAAACTTAGGCAAGTTGCTTGCAGGACTCGCAGAACTGCATATTATACACTTTGCGCAATTTTGCATGGCAACAAGCCTGCAAACTTTGCGAATTTTTTAAGGCCATAAGCTTTGGTGACTCGTGCATTAATCGCCACATCGCCACATTTTTTGCCGTGTACACCACGTTCAAAGGGGTACAAAATAGACGGCGGACTGATGCCAAACAGTATAAACGGCGATTAGCAAGGAGGACTAGACATTATCCAGTTATTGCAGACATGTTTAAAATTAGAAGTGTTATTTTAATTTACCTGTGACGACAACCCGTGGAACAAGCGTCGAAAATATGCATAATCAAGTTTGCACTCGTTTCCAAAATATTCTTGTATGCTAAACTATCGAGTCCGACTTCGTCCTGACCTTTGCATGAATTTCCGACCAAACTAAATGTATCTAGGCGTGCTACTCTCCAGTGCTTTGGTTGGAACCTTGTTCGAACTCAGTCTTTGCGCTGCTCGGCGAAGAGAAGGTTTTACCAAGTACCACATATCAGCACAACTGTTTCACTATCATTACGGACCATCGGCGTGCCATGAGCCTTTTTTGCACCTTCCGAAGATATATGTGAGTGAGGCCCATAATCCTCATTTTTCGAATCTTGCTCAATCAACTTCTACTAATTTTGACAGCCCTGTGAATTACTGACGAGCTGATGTGCAAACGCTGTATTGGCGTTTTAATACTGCTGTTTTATAGTAATGCATATGGTTATGTCCCG